TCTTGAAAAGTACTATTGAACCAATGCTAATTTCGTTCAATCCATTAATTGGTTGTGGTCACCTTTCTTTAAACATATTATCAAATCAATATCTAGTATCTTTACTTTGTGATTGGAGTTGGTCATACAAACACTTTATTTATTCCACAGTCTTCCTTTATGAACTTGCATGATACTTGTTAGTCTATCCATATCACACCTCCTTATTCAATACATTTTAGATATTTGACTTTCAAATGGACAACATATAAGACTAATTCTAAGTGATTCAAGGATGAGTGATCTATAACAAAATACTATATGACAACATAACATTGACCATAATATATTTAACCATTGATGAGACCCTAATAAGCCCAAAGGGTTAAATAGTATATAAATGGGAGTGCCATTAGCAAAGAGATGTGGAATAATAAATAAAGGAGATGAGTGACTTAGGAGGTGCAATTAGCACGTGATGGGCAAGCTTAGTTAAAGAAGAGATAATGAGCGATGGTGTGAAGAGCAAGGATGAGAGGTGCGCATAGAAGAAGTCACATGGGTTACATTGTGTACATGTTTAATATGTGGCACATTTTCAAATTTGCATGTTTGGAGTACAAGGAAGAGGAATGCCACATTTGAATTTTCAAAGATGCATGTAACAAATTTTTCATATCTGCAATTAGTGGCACCCAATTAAGGATTTAACTAGGATTAATTTGAATTTAGTTTTCCCTCCACTCTCCTAATCGCATGGCTGTTACACTTATAAATAGAGTGCTTCCCTATCTTATAAGATCATTTTGAGTAAGCAAACTTTGTTGGTTTTGTGAACCAAGTGTTCATTTTTTATGTGAGAGTCTTATCTTGAGTGTGAGCTTCAAGTGGTGACTCAACCTCACTCATCTTGAAGAAACCCCAAGTGGCGTGACAACCTTCCATCTAATCACTTCATCCACCTTCCAATTCGTATAGGAGTCTTCAACCACATAAGTTCTTCTCTCCTTTTAAAATTATAGTGTTGTTAATGTTTTTCGTTAAACATATTGTGTGTTTGATTCCAATTCTCCAATCAGCTTATATCAAACATGATTTTTTTTTTCATTTTCTTAGTGCCAAAACTCATTTGTAGCCCGACATACCTTTAAACTTCTATTTGTTCTCTTAAGAAACTCACCATTTCCTTAAATGGTGTTAAGAAATCACATAGGATCTAGAAGGCAATAAATGTGTCTCAAAACAAAAATGCATTTAGCAAAATCCCTTGTTTAGTAAGACCTGAGACTCATCATGGCTACTTATATCATAATGGGATCGTCTTGGCAAGAGACAATGTTAGAAAAAAAAAGGATGGTTTAGGTATACAATGAAGGGGTGGGTTGGTTGAAAATATTTACTTTTTTTTTATAAATAATTTTTAAAACTATTTAGTGTATAAACCAAAATATAATTTATTTGAGAATCTTATCAATATATATATATATATATATATATATATAAAACATATAAGACAACAATTACAAACACCACACACAAATCAACTCTTGATCCACTCAAGAGGATATCACGACTAAAAAGGATATCAAACCTCTATTCAATCTTGACACCTAAGATGATATATGTTTCATTCACTCTTATTGCAATCACACAATAAAACAACACTAATCAAAATCACCAACAAAGTTGAATTTTTTTTACTAATCATAGCATAAGCACACAAGGACTTAGAAATTCAACATAACCTTTAATCTTTCAAGCTTTAAAAGCACTTTAGAAAATTGTGTTATTAGTCTAAGAAGTCTTAGCCTTTTTGTTATAATTAACTATCACACTTGTTAATCAATTAAACATGCTCCTCATTAATTTCACAAAAAAAAATTTAATCAGTTATAAATTATTTTAGTTTATTATAAGGTTTAAACCCTTGGATGGTCCTCATATTTGTATGAGAATCTCAGTTGGGTCCTCATATTTGAAACTGTCTCAATTGGGTCATAATATTTGTAAAATTGAGCCAATTTTACCCTATCCGTTAAGTTGTCCCAAACGGTGTTAAATTGTGATGACATGTTTATGTTGATATGCATTATTTAATTAGGTGGAATTTTTATTTAAATTAAAAATTTATGACATGTGCTAGCCCCTTCCCTACCCAAAATTAGGGTTTCAGATTGGGGAAAAGGGGCTTCTACTATTGCACCGTCACGCATGCGAGAATAGGGTTTCGCCTCTTCTTCCCTACCGCGCCGTGGAGATTCATGGTTGTTCTTCTCTTTTCGCAATTTCACAGATGATACAGGTGAATCAAACTCATGGTGTAAACTAGGAAAGCTTGATGAATAGATTTTGTAGGGAATTTTCTACCGGTATTGGGATACGAAGGTAGAGGCTTGGTGGTCACGGTGCTGCGGTGGTGATGAGATGACTGCGCAGGGTTCACAAGAGAATTGGGGAAAACGCTATTGGGTTTTGCTGTGTAGGTATGTGCGATAGTGGGGATGAAGGAGACGAACACAGTGACAGCGACGCATGGTCGCGACGATTTGCGATTGGGGTTTTTCTGATTGTAGGTCTGTGTTGATGGTGGGGAGAGCACGATTCTGGGTTGGTTTCTGATGGCTTCGAGTTGCGAAAATAGTGACTGGCCGTGAGCGTGGGCCGCACGATTCTGGAGAATGCCATGGAAGAGGCTTGCTATTTGGCTCACAGAGATTATGGATGCGTTCGTGGAGATTTGTGAATCGCAGCGACCACGGAGGTGTCGTTGGTGTTCCAGTGATGGTCTGATGCGATGGAGAAAATTGGGTGGTGGCGTGAAGTCTTGCGCTATTGATGGCGGCTGTTGTTTGAGGCAATGACGACAAGGTAGGCGTTGTTTGTACTGCGAAGAAGATGATGCATTGAAGCTTAACGATGATGCAAAGGAGGGTTTCTGATGAAGGTTGATGAAGGAGAACGAATTAGGGTTACACGACGACCTTGCAGCATGATGGTGGCGACACAGTTGCGGCACGACGACAAGGGTTATGGAATTAGGGTTTTTGTGGAGAGGATGATGATGTGGCAGCAAAAGTTATCAAATTCCACGTCATTATTTAAAATTTATTTCCACGTAATAAGATCACACATATCAGTATCACCACATCAGCAGACTTTAACGCCGTCTAGGACAACTTAACGGATAAGATAAAATTGACTCAATTTTACAAATATTATGACCTAATTAAGACAGTTTCAAATATGAGGACCCAACTGAGATTTCCATACAAATATGATGACCATTCAAGCTTTAAAAACACTTTAGAAAATTGTGTTATTAACCTAAGAAGTCTTAGCCTTTTTGTTATAATCAACTATCACATTTGTTAATCAATTAAACATGCTCCTCATTAATTTCAGAAAAAAAATTTAATCAGTAATAAATTATTTTAGTTTATTATAATTTTTATAGTATAAAAACACTTCGAAAAGTTTATAGTTTAATTTATTATTAACCTAAATAATCAATTATCCTATAATGAATCTTTTCAAGAACAATTTAATTGATTATATCAAACAATTGATTAAAAATATGAAAAACCTTGTATACTTGATTTTAACTATATAAGACCATTTTCTTCTTTTGATTACATTTAAGGTAGGCTTTATGTTGAATTAGAGAGTACTTATGAATATCTTGTGTGAAGGTAACAAACATAATTGAAAGAAAGTTAAACTAAAAAACACTTAAGCATTAAAATCTTCAATCATCATCAAAACATCTTTCACTTGAGTCTCTGGGGCTTCTTCTTCAAGTTCAACAAATAACTACTTTTAAATCATTATTAGAAAATGAAATTATCATATATAGCCTCCTAGTATACTTTTGGGTGATAGGCATACAACCAACATGTGTATCATTTTCTTACTAAAGTCATATATCCTTCTTCTTCGAAACCCCAAGAATTGTATTGAAATCTCCTAAAAGTTTTATGTTTGTTAATATTAGTTCATTTTTTTGTCAATTGGAGGAAAATTTGTTTGTTCTTATTTCCTCTCTTTTACACTTTGTATGTATTGAAGAAAGACTTACATGTTTGCATTTGTTGATTTGTGAGGAAATGAGAGCGTGAATGTGATGAAGGGTCTAGGGAGTGTTTCACTCTTATGTGAAGAAATAGAAGAAAAACCACTAGAACATGCATGAGAATAAAAAAATTTCTTTCACTTTTACATTGGACATGACAAAGATTCATGGTTTGCATAATGGCCATGCATGCAAAGATTCTTGAACATAAAAGAATTTTTTACCATGGTAGATGAACATTTGAAAACTCCATTAAATATTATTAAATGCATTTGGTAGTTTTCACACTTTTGTTTTTCCTTTGTTTGTCACTTTAGTTTATGTTGTTTGTAAAGGACAAGTGAGTCGAGGTTTGAGAAGTTTTATTGAATGAAATGACTATTTATGAAGATATTTTTGTAAACTTACGTTAAAAAGAGTGGTTGTTACACATGAAGATGTTTTTGTGAACTGTTGTTAAAAAATGAAAGACTTGTTTGAGATAAAGAAGTAAAGTGTCATGACTAAAAGAAATGAAGATGATACAAGAATTAAAAAAAATGAAGATGATACAAAAATAAAAGTTAAAAAAAATAGATAAAAACAATTAATTAATAAGAAGATAATAATTTAATTTTTTCTATTAACGTAATAAAATCTATAAAACCCAAATGTGATGCTCAAATTATTATAATTCTTAATTATACAATTTTATTTATAATTTTTAAACAATAAGTATAAGGATTGAAAATAATAAAATAAATAAAATTAGTTTTAATATATCTACAATTATTAGTAGATAATTATTTTTTAGACAGCTTTATAAATGTTTCTAATATGTATTTCATTATCTCTTTTATCTTTATTGATCTAAATCATTTTATTATTTTATTCTTTAAATTTTGAAATTATTATTTTTAATTGAATTGATTACATCCACCAAAAAAATTTAAAAAACAAATTCACCGGGTTGAAAAGACACGGGAGAAAGAATGGGTCTTTGAGGGGAAGGTAGTGTAGTGTGAGTACTGTTCTACAGTTCCATTCTCAGTTTGTGTGCTTCTCCGTCGAATTTCATCAATGGATCTTCCTCTGACTAAACCGTCCTTCAACCCCAATAAGCATCTCAAAGAACAGTTAATCTTTTCTTTACCTTTCTCAATTGTAACAATAGTCCTCGATTTTTAACCTCTGATCTTGTATTTCCTTTGTCTCAATTTCGCAGATTTGTTAGCAACTTGACCGGATCCTCTATGCCCGAAATCGTGGCACTTACAGTGACTGTTCCGGTGAGTGACTCTGCCATTTGCATGCCCATTCATACCAGCTTCAATGTGACGCAGTCGTGGTTGTTTTTGTGTTCCCATTACAGGTTCTGGTTCTTATTCGTCACTCCATCTCCTCCATTTTCATTACTGGTCAGTCTCTTACAACTTCAATTTTAAATTTTTAAATTTGTCTATTCTCTGACAACATTTTAGCTATGCTAAATTGCATTATTTCGTTTTAATTCCGTGTGACTCTTTCTCTTATCTTTATGTTTTGGGGACAGAACATGGGTTACTTTTAGTGTATAAGGCTGTCTCATTAGTATTTGAAAATATGAAAATTAAACTAAGTCTCTTAAAGTACAATTAATCTGCGAAGCACTTTAGTCCAGAATTAGAAAAGCCAAGTATAATGTTAAGATATGTTTAGTTTATGGACTTTTATGCCTATAAATTTCAGGACTTACATTGAATTTTCTTAGCTTCAAGGACCAATTTAACAGTGGTATACACCTTTTAAGGACCCAAATGGTATTATATATCCTTATGTTTTCATAATCTCCTATCTATGTTTCTGTTTGTTTCAATGCAAGTTCGTTGTTATATTCATACCAATTGCTTGATTTTCTTTTTCCTTTTTATTAATTATAGGTGCTTCCCCGAAGAAGAAAAATGATGATGCACCTTCCGGTAAAAGGAATTTCAAATCATACTTCGGCACATTATCTCTGGACTTTCTTGTTATTGTTGTTCCTATGCTCTTATTCTTCACTGTAAGTGCTCCCTCCCTAGCAGCAATAGCATATGATGTTTTGCCAACAACTTGAACACTAGTGGCTTGAAAGTTGTGACAGCTTGTTTATGTGTAGCTAATATGTAGTAACAAACCTTTTGTGCAAGTTCCCCTTGGTTATTTTGTAATTACTGCAATGAACTTGCCAATAGGTACTTGCAAACTGGACCTATATCATTGCATGTTCGTTGACTATCTTGACGTTACTATATATTGTAACCAAGAGGTAATTTTGCAATCTTGTATGGGTAATTTCTTAAGGGATATGAATTTTTTTTATGAAACAGAAAATTAATACCTAAAGTTTCAAATGAACCACAGTAGATAAGCGGATTCTGTACACATAACTGCAGGTCTGGAGATTCATCTTGTTTTGAAGGAGAGTCCAATTCTCTTCGGGCATATGTCACTTCTTACAGGGTTCTTGTGGTATGAAGTGCCATATAGAATTCTTTATCCTGTTGTTCTTATTTTTTATTTGTTTTTGTGTTGATGAAAGCTATTTTGGCAGATGATTATAACAATCTTGTGCATCTTGGCTGTTGACTTCAAAATATTTCCTAGAAGATATGCAAAGACTGAAACCTATGGAACAAGTTTGGTATGATTTTTCTGCAATTCTGATACAAATCTGTGAGAATGAAACAAATGTTTTACAATAAGAATACAGGAAAAGACATTTCTTTTAATATGATTCTTATACTTCCTAGCCCAACACTTCTCGCGCTTCTTCAAAAGCTGAAGTACATAAGTTGAGTTTAGCTTATTGGAGAAACCAATTTATTTGATCCTTTTATTTTCTTTTCCTATAAGTTCTTATAGAGAACATCATTCAAAAAATGATTTGTACTTTGTTCAATTAAGGAGGATTTCTTTTCCTCCCTTATAATGGTAATATGTTACTATATTACTTATCACTTGGGTGATTTATGGCTAGAGTAGATTCAAAGTTTGTGTGGGTATTGAGTTGGATAAAAAGGGCCTTTTTATTCAATATATAAATTAATTTTCATCTGGATTACATTATGTTATAAATTTTGATCTCTCTCTTGCTCTCTCTCTCTCTCAGTTCAGTTATTTATTTTATTGTCATCTGTTAGGGAGTGGAGAGTGTATGAGAGAAGGAGGAAGAATTAATAGCCTAACTGCTTTAGCAGTTAGGGAGAAACCTAACATCATCTTTACTTATACACCTAAATTTTTGTTTCACGATATTTCTAACACTTCAATAATTTGATTTCTCTGTTATGATTTGAGATTACTTTTGCATTCCAGATGGATCTTGGAGTTGGAGCATTTGTCTTAGCAAATTCACTAGTTTCTCGGCAAGCACGGAATATTGCATCTGTGTGAGTGATCTATTGCTACCCTATCTAATAACTCAAGGCTTTAGTATTATTCATAACTCACCAAATGACCTCTTGGAAATTAATTTTTGTATGTAAGATGTAAAAGTGTATTTTTTTAGTGTGATAGTCTATGAGATGTTTTACTTGAATGACTTATAGAACTTCTCTGACAATCCAAATAATGACTTAAGTAATGTGAATAAAATGAACCTTGCTTACAATCTCTTAAAACTATGCTACCCTCTTTTTAAATATTCTTGCTCAGATAGAATGGCACTCTGTATTCCCCTGATTATGTCATCTTTTCTCATACTACAGAAGCTGGAAGACTGCAGTAGTTTCATCTAGTCCACTGATCCTCTTAGGATTTTTCCGTCTTGTTACAACAACTGGTGTGGATTATCAGGTGGGATTTTTTATTGGGATTCTTAGATATGTGGCAACTCAAATGGATTAACTCTTGCATGAACATACTGCACTTAAAGCTTTAACAAGGCTAGTCACCTATATGTTTTTGTGCTTGAAATGAAGATTACGGATAATAATCTTTTGGACAGTATATGACTTATGTCAAACCCGGGGTTTTTGTTAGCCCATAAGCCTCAAAACTATGAATGCCGTTGAATGCTGGGGTAGTGCAGTTTTTTTCTGAAAACCTGGCATCTGAATGAAATTTAATGTTGATTGAACTATGCAGGATGATTTCATTTCCTCAGATTTTTAATTAAAATTACTACTGGTATTTGTATGTGCTTTTACCTATATATAGAATCTAATCTTAAGGCAGACAGTAATAGTATTTTGGTCTTCATTATTGTTTTTTAAGTAATAATTTTCTAATCCAAGAGGGAAGACATTCTCAAGGAAGCAAGTGATCAATTTTCCTTTTTATAGGTACATGTCGGTGAATATGGTGTGCATTGGAATTTCTTCTTCACACTTGCTGCTGTGTCAATCCTTTCTTCCTTTATTAACATTGCTCCTCAATATTGTGGAGTTATTGGTTCACTTCTACTAGTAGGTACATTTTTATTTGTATTATTCGTACGCCTTGTCTTTGAAATCTGATTTTCTTATCTAGTTTATTTTCTGTTTCCAAGGATACCAGTTCTGCTTGGTGCAAGGTTTAAACCATTACTTACTTTCTGATGAAAGAGGAGTGGATATTTTAAGTCAAAACAAGGAGGGGATTTTTAGCATATTTGGTGAGAATTGCACCCTGCATTGTTCAGTCCTGATTCTAAGGCTATCTTTTTTTTTATGAGTACTTCTATCTGTTTTATTTTTTATATATTAAAGTTGGTTAAGCAATATTTATTGTCTCCAGGATACTGGGGTATGTACCTTTTGGGCGTTTATTTAGGAAACTTTCTTATCTTTGGAAGTCATTCCTCTGGATTTAGAAGTAGCAGATGGGTACGGATTAGGGTTTGGGCTCTCTCCATTCTGTTCTGGTAAAGCTTGATCCAAAACCTGTTTATCCTGCACTAAGCAATCTTGTTTTGATCTAAAACATGTTTATCCTGTCTACGTCTTTGACCTTATTCTTTTATCATGATGTTCGTGGCAGGTTATTAACTGTACTACTGGACAGGCATGTGGAAAGAGTTTCACGGAGAACAGTATGTCTGGCTATATTGCAGTTTCTTAATTAGAGGGGACATTCTTTAGCATCAGTGATTGAAACTAACTGTTGATATTTTTGTGCAGTGCAACCTTGCATATGTTACTATGATATTGGCTGACAATCTACAGGTCATTCTCACTTGAGTTCTATTCTATGGATCGGTGTTAACATAATAAGATGGGTCATATTGACTTTGTAGTTTGTATTGAAGTTGCTACATTTTAAAACTTTTTAGATTCTATCTTGGTTGGTAGTGTGTATAAAATTTATTTGAGCAATTAAATTTCTAAGTCCAAACATATCAAATGCAGTTTATGGTGTCTCAATTTCTAATTCCACAGCGAAGTATTTTTGAGTTACAGTTGACATTGTATTTTCTAATCTGAAATCTGATATTGAATTTGGCTATTTAATCTTGCCCATTTTTTCAGTTGTTATCAGTTCTAATGCTGGCTGATCTTGTTCCTGGAACGAAAACTTCAGTACTTGAAGAAGCATTCAGTCGGAACTTACTGGCTACATTTCTACTGGTGAAAACAAGATATTCCTTCCTTACAAACACTATGCTTTCTCTCTCTAGACATCATCAGTTATAATTTTTCTGGACAATTTTGTGCAGGCAAATATTCTCACGGGGTTGGTAAACTTGTCAGTCGATACCCTGTCTGCGTCATCAATCAAGGCCCTTGTTATCTTGTTGGTCTATGCTTATATTTTGTCAATTGTAATTGGTATATTAGATTATTTTGGTATTAAACTAAAATTTTGGTGAAGCAGTCTATTGCTACGCTGTACTCTGTTCTATTATTGTTACCATCTATTTTCAAATAAGAATTCTTTCTTTTAACCATCTATTGATTTTTTTATAAAAATCACATGGCAGTTGTGGTTTATTTGTAAAGTGATACATTATGAAAATTCTACTGCCGTCTGGGTTACTCTAGAGATGACGTAGACTGGACAAAGCTGATCTTTATGGCACTTACGGAAAGCCAAAGCTGATCTTTATGGCACTTACGGAAAACCATTTCGTTGACCCGAAAAAAGGATAGCCATTTCCCTGCACATGCAATTGTATGGTATCTCAGCATGGATAACAATTGACCACTGAGCAAATGCAACCTACAACTCATACTTCGATGCTTTTGTGTTCCCATGCTTCATTTTCATGCATCTTGATTTGGCAAGCCCTTGGTAGTTTTCATACATGATTGCACAGTGAAATAGTGTGGTAAATTGATGCATAAATCTTTCTAGGCAGTATATACAATGGAAAAAGAAAGGTTGAAACTGACTTCTGGGGATTTGAATGTAGCCTATGTGATGTGGACCTGCAGATGTACTTTTTCGAGAAGGGTAGCTTACAGTCACATGGTTAATGCAGCAGAGTCTGACAACTTGGACCACGCTCGTAGCTCGACCTCTGTCCTTTCGTGTGTCCTCATCAGCACATATGGCTAAAGTTCTGATCTTTACAAAAACATGCACATCGAGGTGTACACTATGCTCACAAGGAAATTAATATTGTGGTAATTGTCATAAAGTATAAACTTCTATGTGCTAAGCGGTGCTTAGTTTTATGCACTTGCATCTACATGTTTATAATTCGAGTATTTGAAAGAGGGGCGACATGAAAGATATTCCTTGCCAAGTTTCTGGTGGTCCTGGACATTCTCACCTTTTGTGTACAGTATGGCATCACGGTATAGCCCCCTTGTACAATACAAGTAATAACAGAATATGTTTTCTTTATAAGAAATTAAGTGATACAAAACATCATTTTCATCAATAGAATTAATTGATAGATGACACGGTTTTCAAGGTAAGGAATAATTTTGTTGAATATAATGATGAAGATCTAATAACACAACTATTTTAGATAATTTTTAATCGGTATCTTTACGTAACCTGGAATAATATGTACCATAAGATTTTGGTCTACAACACAATGTTGACATGGCTTTGACATGTAGAATGTTGTACCGGAGGATTGTCAAATACATGCATAGTCTATGTCTAAATTATTTATATAGGAATCTTGGGTGCGTGAGCCATTCATTTCCTGCAAAGCCCAACACAGATTTGAATGTGATGGGTAGCTATTGCACAGCTTGTTCTGTTGTTTTTATGCTTATTTCTATATAGATTTGGGTCCCCCACTCTACTCTTCATTGGCATAAGCTGTGCCAGTCTTTGACAGCATCTATGAAATTGGGAAGGAAACCAAAGCATGGATGTGTGAGGAGCCTGTTTCCTTTTACTACACCTTTCTGATTCCTGAAAAGCAGAAGACCTTTTCTGCCCTTCTCACGTGCTGCGTATCCTCTAATCTAAATTAACTCATTCTCCTATATTTAACTTTCAGCTTCCTCTTCCTCTGTGACTCAAACTGCATCAACCAAGTTAGTGAGATTTTCTATATATGGCTGTCATGTCTGTGAGAAACTCATGAAAGCTGTGGTAGTGACTTAGTTTTCTAAGCTAGTAGGGAAGTTCAGACAAGTTTCAGTTGAATAGAGAATAATAATGGCTTTAGAAACTCTTCCATCCAATGAGTTTTCCAACTTCATTGTCTACGACACTATCTCTGCAACTCCATTTAGCAGCCATGACTCTTCGGAGGCTAGTTTCTTGGAAAGTTTTGTGAACTGTCAGGAACACGACCCCTCATTAGATGATAGCTCAATGAGGAGCCGAAAGCGACAAGCCAGTGAGCTAGAAGCCATAGGCAGGAAGCAGAATGTGGTGGGGGTGCAAGGTAGGAAGAAGAGGAGAAGAAAGCCAAGGGTTTGCAAAAACAAGGAAGAGGCCGAGACACAAAGAATCACTCACATTACAGTGGAAAGAAACCGCCGAAAGCAGATGAATGAGCATCTTGCTGTACTTCGTTCACTCATGCCTGAATCCTACGTCCAGAGGGTTTGTTTTTCCTTTCTTGTTTTTTTCTTTTTCAGTCTCTATCTAGTTCCTCTTTCTTTCTCATTACAAATGTAGTTGGGATTTTTCTCAAAATCACTACTATGTTATGGTCTTATTATAGTAGAGATGAGGAGATTCTCTTTTAGCGATAATGCTAAGCAGGACAAAGCTAAACTAAAGCCAATATTCTAAACTTTATATCTGAGGTGGTATAACTATGCAGAATCAAAGATAATGTTCTCTACACTGCTTTTTTGACTTCTCATTGTAAGGTGAATCAAAAGAAGCAATACTAAGCCTAAATTGTAATCCGCTACCAGTGCTGCCAAATACTTGAAACTTTGAAATATAACATTTTTTGCAGTAATACTTAGGCCACTCCATGTACTCTATGTATAAATTAAAGTCCTGCTAAATGCAACTAACTTTTTCAAGATGCAAATTTTATGTTTTAGGGTGACCAGGCCTCTATAGTGGGTGGTGCCATAGAGTTTGTGAAGGAGCTGGAGCACCTCCTGCAAACACTGGAAGCAAGAAAGCTGCAACTTTTACAGGAAGAAGTGGTGCAAACCAATGAAAATACGGCCATTTCCAAACTCATGCAACCCCCTTTTGCACAATTTTTTTTGTATCCTCAGTACACATGGTCCCAGAGTCCTAACAAATACACATCCAAGACCAAAGCTGCCATAGCTGATATCGAGGTCACTTTAATCGAGACCCATGCAAATCTTCGAATTCTCACTAGGAAAAGTCCCGGCCAGCTAACCAAGTTAGTATCTGGTTTACAAACTCTCTACCTCACCGTCCTACATCTTAATGTCACCACCATAGACCCTTTGGTCTTCTATTCCATCAGTGCTAAGGTATGGCATTAACTATTCATTCAGTACTGTGTTCCATTTTCCACCTTCCTCAACTCCATATTCTTTCACTTATAAAATTATGATGTCTTGTTGTATAAAGTTCTGAAAGTTTCAGATTGCTTAGCTAAAATATTAGCATTTTTCTTTTATGAAGGTTGAAGAAGGATTCCAGCTTGGTTCAGTAGATGGTATTGCATCGGCAGTTCATCATTTGCTTGCAAGAATTGAAGATGAGGCTTTGCTTTGCTGTTGATCAGGTTCATATGGGGGCACGAGATTTTAGTGAAACGACCAAATCACCCCTCTACCCACCTCAAGAGAGAGAGAGATAGGGAAGGAATATATGCTGATGGCTGTAGTTTTTGTTTTTGTTTGTTTGATGTCAACTTATGTGTTCATGTTAAAACGTAGTTGCAGTAGAGGATGTTTTTTTAGGTTGCTTCAAGTACGACTTGTTCGAGAATAATTTCCAAAAAATATCGACAGACTAATGAAAAAAATGTTGATACAGTTCATCTTCATGACATAAAATTTTATTGTTTATTTTTTAAACTTATCTTATGTTACTAAGAAACAAGGCTTGATCAATGAATACATTTGAATGCTTTACCAAATTATTCTAGGCAAACACAAGCCAAACTTTCACCATCATGCTTCTTCTTTAGAACAATCACGCACAGTCGTAGATTAATACTTGTTTGGGCGAAAATGCATTTGAGTGTTAACACATTTAAAGAAGAGTCTATCCTATATAAGGGGAAGGTAAAAGAAAACAAAATTAGCCCATGTTGGTGCCGTGGCTACATTTATAAATTTTGTTCTTTTTTCAGTTATGGATGTGAGATAGTGAACCAGGAAGACTTATGGTGTCATATTTGCAACCAGATAATACAATGAAAATGTATGTGAGGTTAGTTTTAAAGACAACCATTTTGGATTTATGTGAGGTTCCAACTTGCAAGCAAGTGGGGTTCGTGGTTACCCTCATTACGAACATTACTTCGGAACATTCATAATCAAGATAATAAAGATAAATGGTTGACCTGATATCTTGCTTCTGATTAGTTTTCTCAATATAAAATTTAATCATCAACAATACTTTCTGACTGTTCACAAGGAAGAGCTTCTCCCCTCCAGTAACTTTTCTTAAGTAAAAAAAAAAACATAGACTGTCAGCCAATTGGATTATGAGCTAAAAGCATTAAAATGTGCAATTTTGTCTTTAAAATTATCTCGTATCATTTTGAACTCATGTGACATCCTAATAAATTAGTACTATTTTAATTAAAATTAAAAAAATATTATAACTAAAACTGTAGACTTCAGTTTATATACTAAAATTATATTAAATTAGTATGACTTCAATTATAATTAAAAAAAAATAGGATGGNATATTCTTGCTCAGATAGAATGGCACTCTGTATTCCCCTGATTATGTCATCTTTTCTCATACTACAGAAGCTGGAAGACTGCAGTAGTTTCATCTAGTCCACTGATCCTCTTAGGATTTTTCCGTCTTGTTACAACAACTGGTGTGGATTATCAGGTGGGATTTTTTATTGGGATTCTTAGATATGTGGCAACTCAAATGGATTAACTCTTGCATGAACATACTGCACTTAAAGCTTTAACAAGGCTAGTCACCTATATGTTTTTGTGCTTGAAATGAAGATTACGGATAATAATCTTTTGGACAGTATATGACTTATGTCAAACCCGGGGTTTTTGTTAGCCCATAAGCCTCAAAACTATGAATGCCGTTGAATGCTGGGGTAGTGCAGTTTTTTTCTGAAAACCTGGCATCTGAATGAAATTTAATGTTGATTGAACTATGCAGGATGATTTCATTTCCTCAGATTTTTAATTAAAATTACTACTGGTATTTGTATGTGCTTTTACCTATATATAGAATCTAATCTTAAGGCAGACAGTAATAGTATTTTGGTCTTCATTATTGTTTTTTAAGTAATAATTTTCTAATCCAAGAGGGAAGACATTCTCAAGGAAGCAAGTGATCAATTTTCCTTTTTATAGGTACATGTCGGTGAATATGGTGTGCATTGGAATTTCTTCTTCACACTTGCTGCTGTGTCAATCCTTTCTTCCTTTATTAACATTGCTCCTCAATATTGTGGAGTTATTGGTTCACTTCTACTAGTAGGTACATTTTTATTTGTATTATTCGTACGCCTTGTCTTTGAAATCTGATTTTCTTATCTAGTTTATTTTCTGTTTCCAAGGATACCAGTTCTGCTTGGTGCAAGGTTTAAACCATTACTTACTTTCTGATGAAAGAGGAGTGGATATTTTAAGTCAAAACAAGGAGGGGATTTTTAGCATATTTGGTGAGAATTGCACCCTGCATTGTTCAGTCCTGATTCTAAGGCTATCTTTTTTTTTATGAGTACTTCTATCTGTTTTATTTTTTATATATTAAAGTTGGTTAAGCAATATTTATTGTCTCCAGGATACTGGGGTATGTACCTTTTGGGCGTTTATTTAGGAAACTTTCTTATCTTTGGAAGTCATTCCTCTGGATTTAGAAGTAGCAGATGGGTACGGATTAGGGTTTGGGCTCTCTCCATTCTGTTCTGGTAAAGCTTGATCCAAAACCTGTTTATCCTGCACTAAGCAATCTTGTTTTGATCTAAAACATGTTTATCCTGTCTACGTCTTTGACCTTATTCTTTTATCATGATGTTCGTGGCAGGTTATTAACTGTACTACTGGACAGGCATGTGGAAAGAGTTTCACGGAGAACAGTATGTCTGGCTATATTGCAGTTTCTTAATTAGAGGGGACATTCTTTAGCATCAGTGATTGAAACTAACTGTTGATATTTTTGTGCAGTGCAACCTTGCATATGTTACTATGATATTGGCTGACAATCTACAGGTCATTCTCACTTGAGTTCTATTCTATGGATCGGTGTTAACATAATAAGATGGGTCATATTGACTTTGTAGTTTGTATTGAAGTTGCTACATTTTAAAACTTTTTAGATTCTATCTTGGTTGGTAGTGTGTATAAAATTTATTTGAGCAATTAAATTTCTAAGTCCAAACATATCAAATGCAGTTTATGGTGTCTCAATTTCTAATTCCACAGCGAAGTATTTTTGAGTTACAGTTGACATTGTATTTTCTAATCTGAAATCTGATATTGAATTTGGCTATTTAATCTTGCCCATTTTTTCAGTTGTTATCAGTTCTAATGCTGGCTGATCTTGTTCCTGGAACGAAAACTTCAGTACTTGAAGAAGCATTCAGTCGGAACTTACTGGCTACATTTCTACTGGTGAAAACAAGATATTCCTTCCTTACAAACACTATGCTTTCTCTCTCTAGACATCATCAGTTATAATTTTTCTGGACAATTTTGTGCAGGCAAATATTCTCACGGGGTTGGTAAACTTGTCAGTCGATACCCTGTCTGCGTCATCAATCAAGGCCCTTGTTATCTTGTTGGTCTATGCTTATATTTTGTCAATTGTAATTGGTATATTAGATTATTTTGGTATTAAACTAAAATTTTGGTGAAGCAGTCTATTGCTACGCTGTACTCTGTTCTATTATTGTTACCATCTATTTTCAAATAAGAATTCTTTCTTTTAACCATCTATTGATTTTTTTATAAAAATCACATGGCAGTTGTGGTTTATTTGTAAAGTGATACATTATGAAAATTCTACTGCCGTCTGGGTTACTCTAGAGATGACGTAGACTGGACAAAGCTGATCTTTATGGCACTTACGGAAAGCCAAAGCTGATCTTTATGGCACTTACGGAAAACCATTTCGTTGACCCGAAAAAAGGATAGCCATTTCCCTGCACATGCAATTGTATGGTATCTCAGCATGGATAACAATTGACCACTGAGCAAATGCAACCTACAACTCATACTTCGATGCTTTTGTGTTCCCATGCTTCATTTTCATGCATCTTGATTTGGCAAGCCCTTGGTAGTTTTCATACATGATTGCACAGTGAAATAGTGTGGTAAATTGATGCATAAATCTTTCTAGGCAGTATATACAATGGAAAAAGAAAGGTTGAAACTGACTTCTGGGGATTTGAATGTAGCCTATGTGATGTGGACCTGCAGATGTACTTTTTCGAGAAGGGTAGCTTACAGTCACATGGTTAATGCAGCAGAGTCTGACAACTTGGACCACGCTCGTAGCTCGACCTCTGTCCTTTCGTGTGTCCTCATCAGCACATATGGCTAAAGTTCTGATCTTTACAAAAACATGCACATCGAGGTGTACACTATGCTCACAAGGAAATTAATATTGTGGTAATTGTCATAAAGTATAAACTTCTATGTGCTAAGCGGTGCTTAGTTTTATGCACTTGCATCTACATGTTTATAATTCGAGTATTTGAAAGAGGGGCGACATGAAAGATATTCCTTGCCAAGTTTCTGGTGGTCCTGGACATTCTCACCTTTTGTGTACAGTATGGCATCACGGTATAGCCCCCTTGTACAATACAAGTAATAACAGAATATGTTTTCTTTATAAGAAATTAAGTGATACAAAACATCATTTTCATCAATAGAATTAATTGATAGATGACACGGTTTTCAAGGTAAGGAATAATTTTGTTGAATATAATGATGAAGATCTAATAACACAACTATTTTAGATAATTTTTAATCGGTATCTTTACGTAACCTGGAATAATATGTACCATAAGATTTTGGTCTACAACACAATGTTGACATGGCTTTGACATGTAGAATGTTGTACCGGAGGATTGTCAAATACATGCATAGTCTATGTCTAAATTATTTATATAGGAATCTTGGGTGCGTGAGCCATTCATTTCCTGCAAAGCCCAACACAGATTTGAATGTGATGGGTAGCTATTGCACAGCTTGTTCTGTTGTTTTTATGCTTATTTCTATATAGATTTGGGTCCCCCACTCTACTCTTCATTGGCATAAGCTGTGCCAGTCTTTGACAGCATCTATGAAATTGGGAAGGAAACCAAAGCATGGATGTGTGAGGAGCCTGTTTCCTTTTACTACACCTTTCTGATTCCTGAAAAGCAGAAGACCTTTTCTGCCCTTCTCACGTGCTGCGTATCCTCTAATCTAAATTAACTCATTCTCCTATATTTAACTTTCAGCTTCCTCTTCCTCTGTGACTCAAACTGCATCAACCAAGTTAGTGAGATTTTCTATATATGGCTGTCATGTCTGTGAGAAACTCATGAAAGCTGTGGTAGTGACTTAGTTTTCTAAGCTAGTAGGGAAGTTCAGACAAGTTTCAGTTGAATAGAGAATAATAATGGCTTTAGAAACTCTTCCATCCAATGAGTTTTCCAACTTCATTGTCTACGACACTATCTCTGCAACTCCATTTAGCAGCCATGACTCTTCGGAGGCTAGTTTCTTGGAAAGTTTTGTGAACTGTCAGGAACACGACCCCTCATTAGATGATAGCTCAATGAGGAGCCGAAAGCGACAAGCCAGTGAGCTAGAAGCCATAGGCAGGAAGCAGAATGTGGTGGGGGTGCAAGGTAGGAAGAAGAGGAGAAGAAAGCCAAGGGTTTGCAAAAACAAGGAAGAGGCCGAGACACAAAGAATCACTCACATTACAGTGGAAAGAAACCGCCGAAAGCAGATGAATGAGCATCTTGCTGTACTTCGTTCACTCATGCCTGAATCCTACGTCCAGAGGGTTTGTTTTTCCTTTCTTGTTTTTTTCTTTTTCAGTCTCTATCTAGTTCCTCTTTCTTTCTCATTACAAATGTAGTTGGGATTTTTCTCAAAATCACTACTATGTTATGGTCTTATTATAGTAGAGATGAGGAGATTCTCTTTTAGCGATAATGCTAAGCAGGACAAAGCTAAACTAAAGCCAATATTCTAAACTTTATATCTGAGGTGGTATAACTATGCAGAATCAAAGATAATGTTCTCTACACTGCTTTTTTGACTTCTCATTGTAAGGTGAATCAAAAGAAGCAATACTAAGCCTAAATTGTAATCCGCTACCAGTGCTGCCAAATACTTGAAACTTTGAAATATAACATTTTTTGCAGTAATACTTAGGCCACTCCATGTACTCTATGTATAAATTAAAGTCCTGCTAAATGCAACTAACTTTTTCAAGATGCAAATTTTATGTTTTAGGGTGACCAGGCCTCTATAGTGGGTGGTGCCATAGAGTTTGTGAAGGAGCTGGAGCACCTCCTGCAAACACTGGAAGCAAGAAAGCTGCAACTTTTACAGGAAGAAGTGGTGCAAACCAATGAAAATACGGCCATTTCCAAACTCATGCAACCCCCTTTTGCACAATTTTTTTTGTATCCTCAGTACACATGGTCCCAGAGTCCTAACAAATACACATCCAAGACCAAAGCTGCCATAGCTGATATCGAGGTCACTTTAATCGAGACCCATGCAAATCTTCGAATTCTCACTAGGAAAAGTCCCGGCCAGCTAACCAAGTTAGTATCTGGTTTACAAACTCTCTACCTCACCGTCCTACATCTTAATGTCACCACCATAGACCCTTTGGTCTTCTATTCCATCAGTGCTAAGGTATGGCATTAACTATTCATTCAGTACTGTGTTCCATTTTCCACCTTCCTCAACTCCATATTCTTTCACTTATAAAATTATGATGTCTTGTTGTATAAAGTTCTGAAAGTTTCAGATTGCTTAGCTAAAATATTAGCATTTTTCTTTTATGAAGGTTGAAGAAGGATTCCAGCTTGGTTCAGTAGATGGTATTGCATCGGCAGTTCATCATTTGCTTGCAAGAATTGAAGATGAGGCTTTGCTTTGCTGTTGATCAGGTTCATATGGGGGCACGAGATTTTAGTGAAACGACCAAATCACCCCTCTACCCACCTCAAGAGAGAGAGAGATAGGGAAGGAATATATGCTGATGGCTGTAGTTTTTGTTTTTGTTTGTTTGATGTCAACTTATGTGTTCATGTTAAAACGTAGTTGCAGTAGAGGATGTTTTTTTAGGTTGCTTCAAGTACGACTTGTTCGAGAATAATTTCCAAAAAATATCGACAGACTAATGAAAAAAATGTTGATACAGTTCATCTTCATGACATAAAATTTTATTGTTTATTTTTTAAACTTATCTTATGTTACTAAGAAACAAGGCTTGATCAATGAATACATTTGAATGCTTTACCAAATTATTCTAGGCAAACACAAGCCAAACTTTCACCATCATGCTTCTTCTTTAGAACAATCACGCACAGTCGTAGATTAATACTTGTTTGGGCGAAAATGCATTTGAGTGTTAACACATTTAAAGAAGAGTCTATCCTATATAAGGGGAAGGTAAAAGAAAACAAAATTAGCCCATGTTGGTGCCGTGGCTACATTTATAAATTTTGTTCTTTTTTCAGTTATGGATGTGAGATAGTGAACCAGGAAGACTTATGGTGTCATATTTGCAACCAGATAATACAATGAAAATGTATGTGAGGTTAGTTTTAAAGACAACCATTTTGGATTTATGTGAGGTTCCAACTTGCAAGCAAGTGGGGTTCGTGGTTACCCTCATTACGAACATTACTTCGGAACATTCATAATCAAGATAATAAAGATAAATGGTTGACCTGATATCTTGCTTCTGATTAGTTTTCTCAATATAAAATTTAATCATCAACAATACTTTCTGACTGTTCACAAGGAAGAGCTTCTCCCCTCCAGTAACTTTTCTTAAGTAAAAAAAAAAACATAGACTGTCAGCCAATTGGATTATGAGCTAAAAGCATTAAAATGTGCAATTTTGTCTTTAAAATTATCTCGTATCATTTTGAACTCATGTGACATCCTAATAAATTAGTACTATTTTAATTAAAATTAAAAAAATATTATAACTAAAACTGTAGACTTCAGTTTATATACTAAAATTATATTAAATTAGTATGACTTCAATTATAATTAAAAAAAAATAGGATGGACTGAAATTATATTATAATTATATCAAATTGGTATGACTTCAATCATAGTATACATTCAAATCGTTCCAAACCGATATTACTTTAATTAAAATTACAAAGAACTCAATAATGAAATTTTATCAAATTGATACCATTACAAAATTACATCATTTTATTAATTTGGAAGTTAAAATTGCACAATTTTGTGTTTTTGCCAGATTATGATGCATTAACATGGGAATTGAGTGCAAGTTAATGGTAATGGAAAAAACCAGAAGGAATGTGGTAGAAAACAGTATAAAGGAAAACATTGTCCGGGGTGGTTGATATGAAGTAGTGGTCTGCATTGCGAAAGCATAGTAGATAGTAAGTAAATTTCATTGTATGTGTCATTTTCATGACCTTGGGGTTTGTGATGTTGTTGTGAATGAAAAGGGTTGGATCAAATAGTTGGTATGAAAAAGGTTACAGTTTTGTTTGGTTGTGTGTGATCGATAGATCAATATCCTCATTAAGAGATTGTGTCCGTTAGTGTAAGCAAGAATCAGAGAAATGGACATGCATGGAAGATCCCTAAGACAAATTCAATTGAATTACCCTTTGCTCTATCTATCTATACACACATCTCTGTGTCCTCTGCTGTGGGGGACGCCTTTCAAGGCTCTCTGCAACTCTACACCACCTTGTGTCACTCAATGCTTTTCTTCTTATTATTTTTTATTCACTAGTAAAATGTTACTACTTTTTATATAATTCAGAATGTA